GAAAATTATTTGTTAATTAATTAGACAGAGAAATTCATGAAGTAAATAGAAGTAAAATTAAAATTAAAAGAATGTTTGTTCTACTGTGTAATACTACTTTATTCTGATATTACTAGGACAACAAAATTGAATGTTTTACCTGCAGCCATTGAAGGGAATGTTCATTATTAAAATAATTATCACAAATAACTTGTAGATGTCACTTACATGAAAATGAAAAATATTTCCTTCTGTGAATGTGAATATTTTGAAAACCAAATAATATTTCAGAACAATGAATCTTTTTGTTGTCAGGTATATTTCACCTTGATTAATCTGTTTGACTATCTCCTTCATCTTCCCCTGAATTATTCCCAAAATTATTGTATATTCATATACTGGGACATTTTCTACTTCCTTCTTCCAGTATTCTAGAATTATTTTTTCTGTGTGCTCCACATAATTATTCCACTTTTGTGGAGTCATGTTGAGGAATACAAGGAGTAAAAGAAGAAAAAATTGTAGCAAACTCAATACAGAAACGGAAAGATTTGTGAAAATAATACCAATTGTTGAAAGTTCTATTAACAATTTAATATAATAACATATTTTTGTATAGTTTCTTTGAATTAAAATGTATCAATATAATTATATGTAATATTAATACTGAAAATTATGTGCATTTTATAATGCCAGGCAAACCTGATTAATTGCTAGCACCCAAACCTGATTGGCCCTTTCAGGGCCACAGCCTGCCCTTCAAAAACTATTTTGAACGAGATATTTTTGCTTGAGACCAGACCTCCTCAGTTGTATTAAGGCTAAATGTACCGACACTAGTTCAGTTTGTCGCCACGACGTAGCAGCACCAAAATAAGTCAAAATTACTTTACTAGTAACGTCTGAACAAGTGATCCGATTTCCAATCAGTAAACGACATAGGATTTGTATTTAATATAAAATGTACGCTATGAAGCGTCTTTGAAAAAATAATTTTTGGAATAGTTCTGGGAAGAAATTTTAAAATGTGGGCTTATAGCGCGATGGCGAAGTGTTTCCTGAATCCAACGCCGTACCAATCGTCCAAGTCGACGTAATAGGCGCGTCGTAAAGTGAAATTTGGCAAAATACAATGCCCCCCTCCCCCATGCCGCGCGTGGGGACGCCGGCACCGAGGGGCACAGAAGCATTCCGTAAAAGATAAACAGAGGCGTGCTGGGAGCGATGCAGGCAAGCAGGCGGTTCTCTTGTGGCCTGACTGAGATTTGTCTAATGAAAATGTTTTCGCTATTTTCCGCATCACAACATTGGTTTTTCATTCTCGTATACGTACCTATATACTGAGTAATATATGTAGTGTAGAGAAAGTTATATAATGACGCGGAAAATCGATATTGAGATTTCAACGAAATGCATGTTTTGAGGCTCTTATACCGAAAGTGTTTTTTTCAAAACGTTTGACCGTCTGTCTGCCCATCTGTGAACAACACTAGGGCCGAAACTACAAGTATTTCTAGAATTTTATCGAAAGTGAATATATATTGGTCGATCTGGCTAGTCTCAAAGATTTACGAATTCGAAAAATATTGTTTAAAACTTGGGTATACTTTAAATGACGCCCCAAGGACATCTTTTATATTTTCTTAAAAATGGCTCCAATTTTTTTCTTCATATGTAAAAATATATTGTAATATGTTCCCAAGGTATCATAGGTCTGATATTTACTGTTAACTTCGATTTTTTGAAGGTTACAAAACTTCGTCTCGTCGTCTCCTCACAACTAGTATTAAAGATCGTGTTTTTTTCTCAAATGAAATTTGTTTTCCCTAATTCTTTCATTGACGTCGTGCACATTTCTTTGGAAATTTTAGTCGTTTTTGTATATTGCGTGAAATATGTGCATCACAAAAAATACTAAAAAACAGAATTATTCAAAAACGGCTCTAAATTGTTTTCAAACTTTTGGTATGGATGTTTCCAATTGTCCTGTGTAAGTTTATTCGCTGTACTGCTTTATTCTTTTTTTATTTTTCAAAACTTTCACAATTTTTTTGACATTTCTCCCACGTCTTTAATATTTACATTACCAGCGACTTGTATCCATTATTGCATTTCTTTAATTAATTTCTCATAAATAGAAACCGCAAAAATATGAAGTATTAAAGTCAAAGTATGTAATGAAAACACTAAGAATATGTAATGAGGATGTAAAATAGAATAAAATATGTAATATTAAAATACACAATTATTAAACGAACATGTACATAATACGAAATTATATTTATAAAAAAGTACTACATAAATTTTGGAGGTGATACAAACGTTTTAAAAATAATTTGAGCAGTACAAATTGATCTATGCTTTGCACCATACACCTTTCCCTTCAGTTGTGAAACCTTCATCTACTGCTATTCAGTACGGTCGTTTAGCAGCCAGTTCTAGGCGCAATAGAAACCATCCTACAAGCTGGTTATATCTACAACCAACAAATTATCACTGCAGCATGTAGCATTCTCAGCGAAGAGTTACACGTCGACAATTCGAAATTTCACACCTGAAGGTGAAACAGTTCCCGGTACTGAGATAACTGAAGCAGACGAGCAGGGCTGTGAGAACATCCTACCGCGTCTTCATGTAGCGAACATAGAGTAGGCAGCACGATGTAACGATGCGAGTAACGTGGCTGTAACGATGTAGGAAATGTGGTTTTTTTAATACTTCTTTTCATAAAAATTAGTCATAAAATCGAAGAAAGTTGATAGATAAAAAGTTTGTGAAAATAGCAAAATATGTAATATAGTACTAAATATGTAACGAAAAATGTAGATTTTGTGTTAGGGTTGCTCAAGTTCTCAGTTATTCTGAGAAATTGAGCTCGCAGTTCTGCATTTTCAGATATACTCAAATGTTAGTTTCTTAAATTTTTCAACGCAAAAGTACATGTTTGACGATATTTTATATTTCTGTAGTATTCTTAAAGTCATGTTTCGGTTCTATCATTAAAGATACGAAAAATTGAAGGAAAAAATGTGAAAAAATTATCTTTAGGTGGGAAGAGGGTGGAGTGAAACCGAAAATATAGTCCAGACCAAAGAAATAAGGAAACGAACTAGCTCGAGAAAGTCTGTGCCATTTTGTAGCATCACTAGTGTTAGCACATTGACCGCCAAATTGCTTCAATTTTGGGGTCTTGTTTTTTAATAGGGCATTTTTGATGTTCTTTGAAGGCGTTTCAGAGGAAAGGACTATACATTTCAAACTTGGTACTTCGGAGATACGTTTTTCTCAAAAAGCCGCGCGAATTTCTTCTCTGTTGACCAAATACTCATTTCTTTCGTACAAAGTTCTTTGACGTAGATTTGTCAGCTGCTTCCAGTTAGTTCGGGGCGTCACCAAAAGATTGTATTTCTGTCGGGCAAACAGACAGCCAATAGCGAAGAAGTAACCGGTAAATTTGATACAAACCAGCAACACGAACTTTCAAATTTCACTCTCGTACTTTCCACACCTTCATTTATTAAAAAATTCACAATAATAATTATAAGGATTTTATGGAAGAAAAAGTCAAATTAGGGTAGTAAAATCTAGTATTTATTGTGAATATTGATATTATACAATTTCCTAATTTCATTAGTAATAACAATTTTGTACAACAATATTGTATTGCAGAAAATAATGAACAGTACACCTGCACAATTGCAGCTTTAGTATATGCTTGTAGATATGCCAAATTAATGTGAATACTATGGAATACTACATTATTACAAGCATTATAAATGAACAATATGAACAGAATTGAAAAGAAAAATGAAAATACCACCGCACATTTGCCCAGGTAAAAGAAATAGTTTTGATACAAGGGCCATTATATTTTGCAAATTACTTTAGCCATTAAGAATACGAATTACTTAAATATGTACTGTTATATTAAGATCAGTAGTATCTGATAAGGTCACATGAACATATTTTGTTTTCTTTGTTGCTTTCAAATTTTTATTAGAACATTTGCGCTTTGTCCCACTTTTAGCAGTAGTGCAAAAGATTGAGCTTTTAGCATGCTCTGCATGCCTTGAAAGAACAGTTTTTACTAGTTGCAGCCTAAAAAAGTTTTTCATTAGTCAATAAATATTTGACAAAAGTTTTTTATTTCCCCATACTAATCTCACATGCACAGTTCAGAGCTTAGCTTTTTTTAAATGGGATCCACTGTGAAAGTACATTCACTTTTCAAACAATGATTTACAAATAGTGGAATTCCATCAATGCTTATACATCACAATTTAATTCTGAAAATGGATTGCCAAAGTGCAAATATTTGATTTGCAACAGGAGCCAAGACTGGGACCTTCTAATAACTGGGCAGATGTCCTAATAACTGAGCTATGGAATTAAGCATTGCATTCACGACTCATAACAATTCACAATCTAATAAGGATCAGCATTTAAATCCAGAATGTAATTGGCATGAAGATTAACAAAACTCATAGTAGAATTGAATCAAGATTGTGTTTGTCATGAGAAACAATTATTGTCACAACAGTATAACAATACGTAAGCAACTTATATCAATACTAATAATAAAAATTAATACTAATAAGAAAGAAAAAAATTACAGACCAGATAATAAGCATTAAAGAAATTCTAAAATTACATGAACATAGCCTCTGAAACAGAAACCTTTCTATTCATAATATTCAAATAAAGTGTCTGAACATAGCAAGAGGCATTCCAAAATTGAGAAAATGATCATGCTTTACAGAATTAATTTTATCTTTAATTAGAACTTTCCAAATCAGATGTGGAAAATACAGTTTATGTAATGGATCTGTATCCAATGACAGAATACACTGATTTTAAAACTCTCATTGTTCGTACCATTATAAACTGTCATCGTAAAAGAGATATGTACAGAAACATTGTGCAAAATGAAGCAAGTCATTCACTGCACATAACAATAATTCTTTAAAATTATCTGAGTCCTGACTCCTCTAAGAGAACATTAATTTGAAACCACTTTGAGTCAAACTCGTGGGGTCTAATATGCATGCTTCAGCCATCTCTGGAAGAAGACATGAAAAGCAAAAAATGCCCTTAAGAAATATACCATGTCCTCAAATGAATGTTCTGAAAACAAATCTGTATCACAAAAAAGGAGGTTTCTTTTAATTAACAGTCTAGGATTACGAAATTAGAAAGCACAGGATTATCATACACTCACCACACTCCGATGTCACAGATTCATCTCCCAGAATGGCTTCTTGCACGTGTGGAGAAGTACAAGGATCTGTAATCACAAAAAGAGAGTTTTTTACTTACTGTAATTTACCCTCAATATTGAAAGGAACATACCATGAGAAACATCCATAAAAAGTTGAGGTGACACTTCACATGGGTGAAAAAAATTTGAAAATGGAGACAAGCTTGAAATTTATCCCATCTTCAATAAATGCAGCAAAGTAATAATAGAGATTCTAAAAGATTATTGCAAATATTTACCTTTCACAAGGCTTGCATAAGCATCTGCTGCACTTGCTGTAGCAGCATGTTCAACAGCACTAGAACCTGTATTAATCAACAACAAATTATTGCCAATACATTATGCTTTCAATAGCATGCTTCTTTTTGCATTTTACAAACATACAAGAGACTTACCATTTTCAGTTTGAAAAGCTGCCTGTGTAATTGAAAATTAATAAATGCTGGTAACATAGACTCCCATCAAACTATATATTCTATTAAAACTATATTCTACTAATATTCTATTAAAAAAGTCTTACCAATTACACCCATTGCTATAGTGGGTGCCACCTCGGTTAGTCCAAACAAGGGATCTGCAAATTAACATGAACATTAAAAAAATTCCACAATTTGCAATTGAATTATTTGAATGCACTTTCAAGGCAAAAACTTACCATGAATATTGGCAGCAAATGTACCAGGGACACTTGCTGTAGTGAACCATTCACTGGCATTAATTTCTGTAAACACAAATTTTAGACACCATTCATCATAATTATAATAAAGAAGCAGTATTCATCAACAAACGACATGCACAAAAACGAAAGATAAAATAAATGTAACTCACTTGTTCACGTTTCTTGGGAACCCAAATAAACGTGTTTTAATTGCTAATTTCGCTTTCGCATTTTCACAGTTGGGCACCCAGCATCTTCTCAAAGCCATAATGTACGCTTCAGACTTCAAACAGCAGTAAATCATTTCATTTCTTTAATTCACTGACTGATATAGCGTTAACGGCCCTTCGAACAGCACGTGAATATACAACGATAGGTCGATGAGGAAGGAAGTCAGGGCCCTATAACTCCCATATAACGGGGTGGAGACCATTACGATGGCGCGCTCTGCAGCATCGCCTTCTTTACAGGAACTAAAACACGAACTGCTACCAATGATACTTCAAACGTGCGTGGCTGCTGCGTGAGTTCGCGGGTCGCAAGCAGGCCCATAATGTTACAAAAGATAACGTCTACGTTCGCGCTTTCTTTAGAGGTTTCTTTTAAGTATATATTATGAATAATTGTACATTTAGAAGACACTTTTAGTATTTCTCACAAATTGCTCAATTTGTATGTGGGAAAGTTGGCGATCCTAACCTGCAGCTGCAGCCGGCGACACTAGCGCTTCCTATAGTAGCAACCTCGAGCTTTGTCCCCGGTTTTGATGGAGAGTTGCCGGGCCCTGAAGGAGGTAACCAACCGACTCGTTTGCCAAAAAATTTCAAAATAAATGAGTAGTTCTCCGCTTGAGCGAGTTGGTGTTGTCGTCGCTCTGAACTCTGATTGGCTACCGTATGGAATTTGAATGAGGACCGGATGTGCCCTATCTAGTGTCACTCGGCTGGACGCCACGCGCTCGCATTGTCATCAGAGGCGAGGTGCAGAAAGCGTAGTAAAAACGTGAACGCCTTCAAGGTTCGATTCAGGGTGTGCCAGACACTGGATGCAGTTGTAACATGAAGTAAAAACGACGAAATTCTTAAAGCAAGGTTTAATTTCGATTGGACAGAGGTAACTGACAATTTCTTCAATACTCGTTAATTCTTTCTCCGAGTAACAATCTTTGTCGATTGTGTGTCGTCTCTTTTCCAGAACACTGTCTGACAAAAAACTACTGATATGAGGCGATGTTTCGTTGCAAATTCTACTAATTGCTATCCCAACTTTGAGTATTTCGCCGCCTCAACTAGTTTATTTTATTTAAAAAAAATCACACTACTGGTGTTATAATGGGGATAGACGTTCTCGTATCCTCTATAACCGCAGTATAGAACTGAATTTATCTTGAAAAATTGTGTTTCCAAATAATTCTGATTTTTCCCTGGTCATCCGAACAAGTCCCGTAAACTGAGGTGACTTGGTGGCTAAAGAATGATCAGTAGCAGCGACAGCGGAGATGGAGCGGGAAGTGTAAAGCGAAAAGGGGCAGCGAGCAAGCCAGCCAATCAGGATTAGTGAACTTGGTAAGCGCATTCGCAATGTTGTCGATTTGCGAACCACAGTTCCAGTGCCGCGTCGGATTTGGAATTCCCGGACCTTTTCACGAGGTCCGTAAAATTAGGACAGCAAAGTTTAAAAAAAATTGAATTTAACTCAAAATTTGTCGCTTTTTGTTGCTAATTTGTTTTGCAAAAAAATTGTCGCTCTTTATTTGACTCTGCTATAAACTATTGGTAAACTGGACATCAAGTTAGCACCGCAAGTATCAGAAAACGAAAAAATTACAAAGATAAATAAAAATAATTACATAGGAATTTGTCGCTTTTTTTGTTGCCCAGTAATAACCGAAAATAAATTTTGTTGCTCTCCAGACCCCCTAATACCGGAAATGCGAAATTTGCCCTCTTTGCGGCGGGTGACGGTGAAGGGAACGACTGTCCGTCCCATATAGGTACCACGGAACAACAACCTACACCGTGGTTTTACAGAGAAAATCAGTGGCGTCAGGTGGTCAGAGAGAATCAGACGCGCAGGATAAATGAAGATTTTCGGCCTCACATAAAAAGATGATTCACAATTGTTATAATTGTACGGGAATCAGAAAATTTTGAAGTGATAGTAACAGTGTCATGAAATATAAAAAGGACGATCATATACATTTTACTTTCGTTTTTCTCCAATAAATCGTGCATATTATTTCAAGGGAGACCTTTAATCGTGTGTCTTTTCTACATTCAGTTTCTGTGCGCGTCCAGCCGCTGTGAAGGATTGGGGCTTGTAGGTGCTAAGGGATTCTCACAGACGTTGCTTTACTGGGGCGAGCGCCAACAAAGCGTCATTTCTCTAAACTATCTATCCCTACATTCAAAAATATTACAAACAATGGCACTCTTACACGTGTACATACTGCCATTGTTTGAAATAAACTCACAGAATCATCATCGGGCCCTCCGACAATCGGACGGGTATCAAAGACTTTTTTTTTATTTACGTCTAAAACAGTGTGTGACGCGCTACGAGGAGAAGACCAATCTTGCGGGACTTAATTTGAAGTTACATCTATGTCCAGATGTAAAACAGAGTCATCTCAGTATTTGCTCAAGGATCAGTGACACTGGACGAAAACCTGATCGAGATGGGGGTCATTGACTCAGAAGCTGATGTACAATAATTGTTACAGGTACTTTAAAGTTATTCAGCCCAAATGGAAAATATTACATGTCACTGTTAAAATTAATATTACTTTTCTTTTGGATGCTCGTTATAGAAATAATTGTGCAGTAGAAAAGATTTTTCATTCTACTTTTGTATCGAATTAAATCGATTAATGTCATCTGGCAAAGTGTAAAATAATGTACATGTATGTAATTTTTTTCAGCGAGCTGTTGATACTGGCACAAGGATTGTAAAAGCAAACTTCGTCTAAATTTAATTTCAAAATATTAGTATTTAAGGTTAAAACATCGCCCAAAATACATCTGGTTTAGCAATCTCTAACATATTCACACAAGGAATAATTTGATTCAAAAATGACAGCGCACTCGTTTACCACTTATTGAAATTTGTCCGTAAGTAGGAAAACATTTTTAAAATTAGCTTCAGCTATTTTACTTGGGGAAAAGGGAATCACAAAGTAAATTCTATCAAGGAGACAAACGCCGTTTGGGGATCAAAAATCGAGTCGTAGGATAAAAGTGCTCGTGCGTAATATCTGCTTCGCGTGTTCCGGTAAGATCTATTCACAAAATTAATTAGGAAATTAATTCTCTTCAATCGGGAGAGGTGTCAATTTCCAACTCCAGAGAGGAAGAGAAAGGACGTGGAATCTGCTGTCGATGGTTTCAATGCGAGTGTAATTCGCCCCACAATGATTTAATGCACCATACCAAGAAATCGTTATTTTTTTCCGCAAACTATATTAAGGGCAGTGATATATTTATTATATTAGTTTTAATAGTGAGAAAAACCCTGTCAGTGACAGTGGAAAACATGGATGATGAGAGCAGAGCCGGACCATCATCCAAATCTTATGAAAGCAGAGCCGTGAATTTGGCGTTTCTTCACTACCGAGCTAAGACACTGCAGCAAATTAAATTCAAAGTTGGCTAGCAGGTGCGGTGCGGTAGGCTAATGTTTTTGGTATGGGCAGACGAGTTAGACGCGAACGCCGCCTCATGGCTCCCCCCCCCCTTTCAGCTTTTTCCACTACTCGCAATCCCAGCGGCCATCCTAGAAAAGAAAATGGCTGTACCAAGGCGCATTTACGACACTGCGAAGGGTTTTATTTTGGACTGTTTGGAGAGTTTTACGTACTGAAGGGGCAGCTCCTCCCCAGACCGGAAATGCATAAGTATGGGACGCTTGGCAGGTTTGAAAAGGAATTGGGAGAGAACGGTTTTAAGAGATGAATTTTTATTTGTTAAAATATATAGTTTGAAAAGTGCGGCCTGTGCCTTGTTACATTTATTTAAAATGTGCGGTTACCAAATTAGTGTGGGTCATGAAGGACTCCTAGATATTTTTATCAGTTTATTTGGAGGATGTGAACAAGTAGATGCTATTGTAAGTATTAACGGCGTGAGAGGCTAGTCAAAACTTTACATTTTTGTATATTTTGCAAAAGCAATATAGCTTTTATACCATCTCACTGAGTGCTTTTCACACCATCCCTACCAATAGTTTAAAGAAAACATTTCGAGGCGTTTTTCAGAAAATCTTGTTTTTGATATTTTTTTGTATTGCACGCAATATTGCCCAAAACCTATTAAAAGTTTAAAAAGTGGACATAACCTTAATGAAAGAACTAATTATGAATAACAAATATTTTTATGAAAAACTCTATATCTTCACTTTTGTAGTTGGAAAACTCTGAAAAACATCAAGCTTTTGAAATTTGCCTTTATAAGTGTAATTTACTCTATTCTTACAAAAAAAAATTAAAATAAATTGGAGCCGTTTTTCCAGAAAAGTTTGAAAATGTCGAAGGGGCTTCACGTTAAGTACCCCAAATTCGATGAGTGTTTTTCAAAATCGCGGCGCTTCGCCTCGAGCCATATCGACAGGGGTTTCTTAAATTTGGAAATAATGCTACGTATGGTTTAGGCGCTAGTGGTGATCGCAAACGGACGGTCGTGTTGAGAAAAAGACTTTTCGATATCAGGGGACCCCAGAACGCATTCGTATTTCAGTTGCAAACTCGAAATCGATTTTCCGCAGCATTACATAACTTTCTCTATAATAAGTATATTACTCTATATACGTGTATTCCTCCGATTATACGTATGTATACGAGAAGGTAATAAGTCACTATTCTCATTATTACAACGTAGATCGGGTTATTCTTGATATGTTGGTAACAATAATTGCCGACACAAAACTATCACTTAAAACCTTCGTCACTTGAAAGTACATGTTAACATGCGATAGGGACATTTTTAATGAGTTGCATTTTAGTCATTGAAGGTGACGAGAACAGTACATAGTGTTATCTCATCCGTGCACCCTGTGAACAACACAGGGCAGCCATGCTGGCCCCTTGAATGCGCTGTAGGACACTTTCCCCGCTCTGTGCCTGCGATGTATATCCCTCCCCTGGCTGCAACAGGGAGAGGGAGATCTTCGGCTGCCGGACTTTGCCCTCCCGGTCCCGCAGCGCCCTTTATGGCAACCTAAGCAGGGCGTGGTCCCTTGTGGAGCGGGCCGCTCTCGCCGTGCCCATGACCGTCGAATGTCCTTAGCCTCCCCATTGGCCTGGGAGTGGAAGGGAGGCGTGCAGATGGCATGTGCCCCATCCGATTTGCATAATCTCGCGAACTCCTCCGTGAACTGCGCTCCATTTGTCCGTCATGATCGTCTGCGGTAGGCTTTTCGCTACGAATGGCAGCTTCAAAACTTTCATGGTCGCCGCCGCCATGGTGGACCGCATCTCTGTGGCAATTTTGAAGTTGGAATATGCATCCACCACTAGCAACCACATGGAGTCCCAAAACGGGCTCGCAAAGTCCTTCTCCCTCGGGTGTTATCGGGTGGGCGAAGAGACGAGGTCCTTCCTGGGGTTCACCTGGCACGACTCGCACTTCGTACCAGATTCAGGATGTCCTCCGACATCCCGTCCCAGAAGCAGTACGTTCTTGCCTGTAACTGCCCAGTGGTCCTCATGCAGGAGCTTGAGGACCTGGTGGCTGTCTCACGATCCTGGGCACCACCACACTTGAAACCTCCGCCGCCTACTGCACCACTGATGCTCGGCTAATGGGCGGCCAACCGTCCCGCACGTATTCCAGCACCGATGTGAGCACCGGGTCCTTTTCCCTCCGCCACCCGGGCCGCGTCTCCCGGGAACTCTTAGACCAGTGGCCACGACAGCGCTACTGTATAATTGTAATCAGAGAGAAAGGGTCCATCGCTGCCCTTTCTTCTCTCAGCCCTCAGGTAGCTTCTTTTCTGGATGGAACAAGTGCACCATCGCCAGGTGGTATGTAATCAAATGGAATTTAGCTGCATGCAGAAAATCATTAAACTTACCCTCTCCAAAATCAACGCCAAAGCCTCCTCAATTTGTGAAAAATTGCGCTGGTCTTTGTTCAAGGCATTTGAAGCCAGTGAAATGGGCCTCAAGTCAAGTTCATCCTGAGAGATAACTGTCCCCATCCTACAGTCCGATGCGTTCCCATCCTACAGTCCGTCCTGCTCAGCCCAAAATGTGTAAACCTAGTCGCCCCCACCATGGCCTTCCTAAGCCTGTTCAAGGTTTCTTCGCAAGACTGTGCTCAGTGAAACTTCACTCCCCTTTTTCTTCGACGCGTTTAAAGGCGCCGCGGTACAAGACAACCTGTTGGTGAACTAGTAGTAGTTGATTTTTCCGATACGTGCCTGTAACTGCTTTGCTGGGAGGTGCACTATGGCCTTCACGTGCTCCTGTGTAGAAGCCATATCTGCCTTGTTCAACACACTCACCAAAAAGTCCACTTTGTTAAACTCACACTTATCCATGCAACTCAGCACTGCTAATAGCTTCCGGAGGTTCTCCTTGTGCTGCTCTCTTGTGGCGCCCGTAGCGATGATAACGTCCAAATACTTCACTACCCGGCAGATGCGCTGTCAACAGCTCCAAAAGCCTCTTGGATCACCGCGGCTGCCGAGTTCACACCGAATGGTAGTTTTTTTTAATCTGAACAGTCCCGAGGGCATGTTGATAAGCAGGATCTTCTTTATCCGCTTGTCCAGCGGAATCTGCAGATAAGCATTTCGAATATCGATCGGCATAAAGCGATCTCCCCCCCCCCCCCTCATTCTCTGGAACAAATCTTCCGGCCTCGGGTTAGGGTTTTGCTCGACGTTTAAGTTCAATGAAGGTACTTTGGCAATTCCCGCACAATTCTCGCAACATTCCCGCACTCCGCCCCGTTCTGCTTTTTTTACTAACATCGGCGGCGTGGCCCACTGATTGGTGGACACCCTGGGAGAAGCTCCTTCGGCCTCCCATTTCTTCAACTCCGCCTCCACTTTTCCTTAGCTGGGCCTAAGCAGTCCAAAAAACTTTCGGAAAATCGCACTCAAGCTCCTAAGTGATGCAGTGCTACGTAGAGCTCGCCGACCATCCAAAATCCTAATTTGCTGAACGAATCCAAGCCCAACATGTTCATCACATCGTATCGATCCACCACTACGACCTCCAGCTTAGCTTTTCTCCGTTTATAACTGACACCCACTTCTTTGAGGTCTAACGAAGTGATGGGTATGCACTTTCACGCCTGTTCAATTTCTTACATTTAGGCACCCGTAGTTTCTGATTGGTGACCAAGATTATCAGCGTGACTGCCGCGCCAGGCTCCTCCACAAGCTCAACCGATACTCCCGCTCGTTGAATGTTCAATATCAGCCTGTTTTGCTGCTGCGAGTCCAACACTGTGTGCATTGCGTCCACGCCCATGTCTCGGGCCTCCCTGATGTCCACCTGCAGCGCTAAAGCGAATGGTACCTGGGAGACCTATTATTTTCGCGCGTGACGCATGACAAAGTCTGTGCGCAACTTCCGTTGGGTTGAAAAGCGCCTATTTTACCCTAAATTAGGAAAATACTAACATTTTCGAAAACTTGAATATTTACTTATTTGAAGATGTCTGATGGGCACATTTTAATAATGGAACTAGCTAATGCTACAGACTTTCCCGTATATGTTTTCTATTTCCATTGGTCTCGGCTAGCTCTTCGGACTTGCCACATACTCTTGCCAGCTACCATCTATTGCCGCCCAAAGTTTTTTTTTTTTTTTCATTTTAATTTTTCGATTATCTAATAGTAGAACGTTTTTTAAGAATATTAAGGAGCAGTAGAACGTGGTCCTAAATCGCAATTTGGCCGGTCCCGCGGCTTCGGTGGCGAGCTTCGCTTTTTTTGGCCCGTTTCGGTGCGGTTTCCGGGCGGGCGGGGCACACCGCTCCTATTGCTGTCTTCGCCGATGACAGCCTGTCCTTGTGTTGCCCTTCGCAGTGCGGGTGTCCCATGGTGTGTCCGCGCTCCCGCGTGGTCGTGCGGAGCACGGCGGGCTGTCACGTGTTTCGGAGGCCGGCAGGGCTTGGTCGCGAGCTGCGCAGAAGGGTAGGTCTGTCGTCCATTTTGTCAGTCTCTTGTGCTTCCGTTATAGTGATTGGAAGGGGCGATTCCTGTGTTGGCTTCCGTTGTCACTTCGCTGTGGGCCTCCTCCATCGAATTTCGTGCAGAGGTGAACGTCGGATGCTCCCGAGGTTGGTCGGAGAAACCTCATCTTCATAGCCAAAGCCACTTGTTGTCAGGCGGGGTCGCTTTCGAAGAAGCTTAGCCCGTTTTCGAGGTAGGAAGAACACGGCGCTAAAGGGCACTAAAGGGCACAATATCTACAGCGCGACACATGGAATAGTTATTTATCGGCAGAGCCTCACAAATGTTAGTTCCCAGTTCAACCCCAAAGCTAGCTCTTGTTGGAGGGTGCAAGCCGCGGCAAAGCGACCACAGCCGCCCGCAGCAGGAAAGCGGGGCAACGTCCGCCGGCACGGGCGGGGCGCGCAGCACGTGTGTTTTCTGTTATTTAAGGTCGCAGTAACATCTAGATCGTTAGCGAACACTAATGCATTTAACGCTATGATAAGTCAAGATGTCATGATGGGGTGTGAAAGGGCTGGATTCGAACCCGCATCCTTCGACCCGAGATCGCTATTGCACTTCTGCCTTAACGATCTCGGCCATCCGGAGGGGAGGGGGAGGCTTGGCTTGGTGTGCATGAACTGCATTGGGGTGGCGGGGTAGGCAGAACGCTTAGCGTCCGCCGGCGGTCGGATGAGGGGGAACTTTGGCTCCGTTGCACGAGCAGCTCTGGCAACGGCGCTACCGTGATTTTTGTGCAGAACCTTTGTGGCGGCTTAGCAGATTGGCTATACAAGCAGTGCTCTGCTGTTTGGTTGGGGGGGGGGTAGCGCAATTTTTCCACTATTACAGAGGACGCACGCATTACTTGGCCGTTGAATATATTGGGCAGGCCAACATTGTTGCTATGGCTTTCGGTCACATGACATTGAGACAGGCGCGGAATTAATATTAGGAATATTTTAATGTTACTAAACAGGCGGAAATAAATGTTTTCAATATTTGAACATTACTATGAATTTTACTTCGCAATCGTACGTTCATAAATCATGACCATGCACCATCCCGGTATCATGAGTTCAAAAGTCACGACAAAGGCTATCGCCATAACGGACCTCTCCGTGGAGCACATGCTCCCACGTTCTAGGATTGGATATTTGAGAAGTTGTTGATCTGCGACAAGATAAGATAATGAAATGTGAAATTCTTTTGAATTCTTCTCTTTGTTGATCGTTGACATGAAAACATTTTGAAGGTTTGTTTCATTTATATAAATTTGTATTTAACGTCAAAAAAGTGAGTGTATGGGCAGAAATGTCTGTGAACGTTTTCTTAAATTCTGGTATCTCTACCCTAACTCATAAACATGTTGAATTCTGAATATAGATGGAAACGAAAATTTTTCGTTTAGTAATGAGAATTTAAAGAAATGTCCGTATGTGTGATATCGTATGGAGCATTTAGCATTACATGATTAGACAAGAAGTAACGTGTAATTCGTTCGTTTAAAAGAAAACGGAGCAGTTATTAGTAAACGTAGAATATCTCGGAGACGATAGAAAATAATTTTATGGTTTACTAGTTCATGGCGGTGTTAAAGAACATCAACAAAATGCATAACTGTATTAATGCCTTTGAAGGCCTTTCTGATTCTTTTGGCCCCCGCGCGCCTATTTAATACTTTATACCCGCTCTAATACCAACACAAATTCATTTTTGGAATTTCTTTTATTAAATTAAAGGTACAACAAAATACAATAAATAAAAGGCATAATGCTCAATTCTGTAAAAAACTCGTTATAAACCTTGGTTTGGTTTATTAATTTGATGTATAATATTATTACATAATCATTAGTAACCTGTTAGAATGTATGTGCTTTTTTAACAACAGTAGTTTCAGGTAATGCTTCGTGTGCTGATGGGGCTATTTGTTTAGAAAATGTAAAACTATTTAAGTGTGTATTTAACTAGCAAAACCATTTCAGTTTTTCCTAATTCTTCATGAGACCATGATGGCTCGTTTTGCACTGTTTTTTAACAGATCTAGCTGTACTGTCTACTTGTATTAGAATGGTCACTAATCATGCTGTTTTCATTGTTTGCAGAGGAAGAAATGGCAGCGTGCAATAATTCCAGTGAGCAGCAAGAAGCGTTCGTTCGTTTGAATCTCCTGGAGACTAGATTCACCTGCTTGG